TTATTAAAAGTTTGAAAAAAAAAAAAAAGTACTTTACTGTTCCGTTGCACTCCTGTGAGTCCCAGATCAGGTAGTACCTGCAGTCGGCGAAATAACGGTAGTACTTGTCACATTTGTCGACATTAGCTGTGGAAGGGTAGCACTAGGTCTTAGCACTTTACTGTAGCACCGTAGAAAATACATACGAACAGACAAACATAAAATGCCACTTGATGGTTTGATGTTCTCAGTTAAACACTTACGAGTTAAACCATTAATACATGCTTACGAGTTAAACCATTAAAACATGCTTACGAGTTGAACCATTTAAACACACTCACGAGTTAAACCATAAAACACACTCACGAGTTAAACCATAAAACATACTTACGAGTTAAACCATTAATACATGCTTACGAGTTAAACCATTAAAACATGCTTACGAGTTGAACCATTTAAACACACTCACGAGTTAAACCATAAAACACACTTACGAGTTGAACCATTTAAACACACTCACGAGTTAAACCATAAAACACACTCACGAGTTAAACCATAAAACACACTCACGAGTTAAACTATAAAACACACTCACGAGTTAAACCATAAAACACACTATCGAGTTAAATAATAAAACATGTGAGTGCAAAAAAAAAAAAAAAGGCACAATAAGTATACTATAGGCGTATCATTAATATGCCCTTTTGTGTTTAAACCATAAAAACCACTCACGAGTTAAACCAAAAAACACACTAACGAGTTAAATAATAAAACATGTGAGTGCAAAAAAAAAAAAAAAGGCACAATAAGTATACTATAGGCGTATCATTAATATGCCCTTTTGTGAATAAGCTGGTGTAGCAAAGAGCCATCATGCGAAACGCTACTCTACGTTTACGTCAACCATTTTTTTGTTTGTTTTTGTTTGTTTTGTTTGACGTCAAATAATTTTTTTACCAAAATGGTAACGCGTTACTCGGTAAGCTAAATTTTTTTAAAAGGAATCAAACTACTTTGGTGGACCATGATGTGTGCGTCATATATAAGGGTGAAACAAATAAACAAAATTCAATAGCATTGTTTACTGACTCGTACCAAAAATTCGAGATTTCTCCTGATGCACAACGGTTCCCGGAACCTGAACTCGCGAGTGTTTGAGGTATCCCTGCATGATCCTGGTACATTTTAGAGAAATGATGATAATTTATTTTTTTTCTTTTTAATATTGAATTGAGATCTATAATGTATCTAGTTTTTTTTTCTTTAATTAATTTTTGAATGATCTTTTGGTGGGGACAAAAAAGTGGGCGGGGTAGATCCTTGACACCTCGCTCACGAACTCATAACACAAATGTCTAACCCCCCCCCCCCCTTTTCCCTCCCGTTACACCCGCGTGATGTACTTCAATGACTCACCCCTCCTTCCCTCAGATAACATTCACGCCACCCCCCCCACCCAGATAACATTCACGCCCCCCCCCACTCAGATAACATTCACGCCCCTCCCCCCACGCAGAGCACATTCACGGCCGCCCCACCCCCACACCACTCAGATAACATTCCCGCAGCGATGACTGTGAATCACGTCAGCGTGCCTGACAACGTTGCTCAGCGTGTTAAGGCGTTACCTTGGGAGACGTCGTCCCTGAGGACGTGTCTGGCTCTGTTGCCCCGCAGCACGGCGAGCAGGGACGTGTACACCTGTCGCATGAAGGAGTCCCCGATGAAGTAGATGGTCTTGTTCTGAAGCACACGGCACACGTCTTCTTCGCTGCTGAACTGTCGCATCTGAGAGAATTGTGATCAAGGGCATGGATGAAGGCAGCAGCAACCAAAAAAAAAAATAAATACTAATAATAATAAAATAAATTCAAACAAAGAATTGGGAATCGGTTGATGTTGCCTTTCAGCGTCATCTCGTGTGTTTTTGGACAGAGGGCACTCATTCAATTTTTATTCCACGAGTCGTAACTAAGACCATAATGGCTCTGCACTTCCCCCGTATCCGGAAATTTGTTTGAAAAAATTTCGTCGACGGAAAAAATGATCGACGGAAAGTTTGATCAAACGTAAATTTGGTCGAACGCAAAATTTGAGCAAATTTTTATGTAAGTTCACATAGGCGCCGAAAGTTAAACAAAAACAAACATAAAAAAAGGTGTCGGCCAAAAGCCTACTTTAACGAACATAGACAGAGAAAGTAAAAATTTAAAGATTTTGAAATAACGTATTTTCTGCTGTAAAGTTCAAACTGCCCCATGAAANACCCCCCCCCCCCGGTAAAATGGTTTAGCTGAATCCTCAGCACCCCCTCCCACCCCCGCCCCTCACAATGTCGAGGAACTGGGCGTACACCCAACCTCACCCTACATCAACAGATAAGGAATTAAATGATTGAATTAATGTGTTATCTCATCACTTGATAGATTGAACTATATCTGGCATCAGGGACTATTTCAGATTTTTCGGGGGGGGGGGGGCAGTGCCAGCAAGGCCAGTTGATTTATTGTTAGACATATTTTTGCCTTTATCTCAAATGTTTTCTGCAACTGTATTTTTTGTCATATCTAGTGGTTATATGTAAAATATGTGAATTGTGTTCACTGTTTAAAGTTCAGAGAAGTTGTTCGTTGTTTTATTTTTCTCTTTTCACTTATCCTATATCAAGACTCGTTACCATGACTTTGATTTTGTCAACATAAGGCCTCTCAGGTATCAAATCTCGTTACCATGATTTTGATTTTGTCAACATAAGGCCTCTCAGGTATCAAATCTCGTTACCATGACTTTGATTTTGTCAACATAAGGCCTCTCAGGTATCAAATCTCGTTACCATGACTTTGATTTTGTCAACATAAGGTCTCTCAGGTATCAAATCTCGTTACCATGACTTTGATTTTGTCAACATAAGGCCTCTAAAAGTATCAAGTCTCGTTAGCATGACTTTGATTTTGTCAACTAGGCCTCTCATGTATCAAATCTCGTTACCATGACTTTGATTTTGTCAACATAAGGCCTCTAAAAGTATCAAATCTCGTTACCATGAATTTGATTTTGTGAACATAAGGCCTCTAAAAGTATCAAGTCTCGTTACCATGAATTTGATATTGTGAACATAAGGCCTCTAAAGGTATCAAGTCTCGTTACCATGAATTTGATATTGTGAACATAAGGCCTCTAAAAGTATCAAGTCTCGTTACCATGAATTTGATTTTGTGAACATAAGGTCTCTAAAAGTATCAAATCTCGTTACCATTAATTTGATTTTGTGAACATAAGGCCTCTAAAAGTATCAAGTCTCGTTACCTTGAATTTGATTTTGTGAACATAAGGCCTCTCAGGTATCAAATCTAGTTACCATGAATTTGATTTTGTGAACATAAGGCCTCTCAGGTATCAAATCTAGTTACCATGAATTTGATTTTGTGAACATAAGGCCTCTAAAAGTATCAAGTCTTGTTTCCATGACTTTGATTGTGTCAACTTATCGCATATCAAGTCCGAGAAATGAATGATTATTTCATTCAAAGGGGATCTGTAGGAAGCCTGATGGGTTTCTCAAAAAAATAGTTTTAAAACAAATATATTCTAACTTTAAAATTCGACTTCCTACTCCTTTGTCCAGACAAACTGACAGATAGACAGAGGAACTGACCTTACAGGAAGAGTTGTTTGGTACCCATGTGGCAAATTCTGCATGCACTGATTGTCTCATGTCATAACATTCAGGACATTGGCACTCTTGGGCGGTCTGGTTGACGCAAGAGTTGTTCATACAGCACGGGGTGGCCCCTTTAGGGTTACAGACTGCCCTGTGCCATTGGTGATTGGGGAAATTGAGATTTCCTGAGGAATTAAAAAAAAAAAAAAGAATATGGATGTGAATATATTTTTTAACTGTAAATCGATTAAGAACACCGGTCCATAAAAATGCAACTTTTTCACTTAAAGAGACACGTTAAAATTTAAAAATTGAATCATTAATTATTTTTGTTTTTACCAAATTGGGTAGGTATTGCCTTTTTCATTATTACTAGTTATAGCCCACAAAACATTGACGACGGCAATGAGTGAACTTCCCATCTACTAAAGTTACCTGACAAAACATGAACTCAAGTAACGCACATTTATGAATTCCAATTTCTGCTACCCCCCCTCCCCCCACCCCCCCAAATGATACGTCAATGCTCACTTTTTTTTTTCACGCCCAGGAAATATATTAAATATTCTGATGTCCCAAACTCTTTTAAACTGAATATTTTTTTTTACACCATACTTAAATGGAGAGAATTTCATTTATCGAAAAACATTACGCACCAAACGAAGTTGCGTTATTTACAAAAAAATATAAATGATTTAGCGTAGTTATCGGGAATTCTATTTTGCGCGCTAGTGAACTCATTATCGATATATAGCCTGTGTGGTTGTGGTGTTTCACCTTTGCTGGCGAATTATATATTTAGATATTGGTGCATCGGCTTAATGAGAAAGTGACAAATCCTCTTCCAAAGATGTCTTGTTCTATTATATCTTCGGCGCGGCTTAATCTCATGCCTTGATATGTCATCCTTTAACTTGTAAAGGAATCGGATGACTAAGTCTTGAAGATAAATATTCATTCAAAGTAACATTTAAAATTTACATCGATTTGGGCGACACCATTGTTAAATGATGTAATGAGATTGACAAGCTCCGTTTGTTAAATGATGTAATGGATTAAGAGACACCGTTTGTTAAATGATGTAATGGATTGAGAGACACCGTTTGTTAAATGATGTAATGGATTGAGAGACCCCGTTTGTTAAATGATGTAATGAGATTGACAGACCCCGTTTGTTAAGCGATGTAATGGATTGAGAGACACCGTTTGTTAAATGATGTACTGGGATTGAGAGACACCGTTTGTTGGATGATGTAATGAGATTGACAGACCCCGTTTGTTAAATGATGTAATGGATTGAGAGACCCCATTTGTTAAATAATGTAATGGGATTGATAGACCCCGTTTGTAAAATGATGTAATGGATTGAGAGACCCCGTTTGTTAAATGATTTAATGGGATTGAGAGACACCGTTTGTTAAATGATGTAATGGGATTGAGAGACCCCGTTTGTTAAATGATATAATGGGATTGATAGACCCGGTTTGTTAAATGATGTAATGGATTGAGAGACCCCGTTTGTTAAATGATATAATGGGATTGAGAGAAAACCGTTTGTTAAATGATGTAATGAGATTGAGAGACCCCGTTTTTTAAATGATGTAATGGATTGAGAGATACCGTTTGTTAAATGATGTAATGGAATTGAGAGACCCGTTTGTTAAATGATGTAATGGATTGAGAGACACCGTTTGTTAAATGATGTAATTGGATTGAGAGACCCCGTTTGTTAAATGATGTAATGGATTGAGACACCCCGTTTGTTTAATGTAGTAATGTATTGATAGACCCCGTTTGTTAAATGATGTAATGGATTGAGAGACCCCATTTGTTAAATGATGTAATGAGATTGACAGACCCCGTTTGTTAAATGATATAATGGGATTGAGAGACATCGTTTGTTAAATGATGTAATGGATTGAGAGACACCGTTTGTTAAATGATGTTATGAGATTGACAGACCCCGTTTGTTAAATGATGTAATGGATTGAGAGACCCCGTTTGTTAAATGATGTAATGGGATTGAGAGACCCCGTTTGTTAAATGATGTAATGGATTGAGAGACCCCGTTTGTTAAATGATGTAATGGGATTGAGAGACCCCGTTTGTTAAATGATGTAATGGATTGAGAGACCCCGTTTGTTTAATGATGTAATGAGATTGACAGACCCCGTTTGTTAAATGATATAATGGGATTGAGAGACATCGTTTGTTAAATGATGTAATAGATTGAGAGACCCCGTTTGTTAAATGATATAATGGGATTGAGAGAAAACCGTTTGTTAAATGATGTAATGGATTGAGAGACACCGTTTGTTAAATGATGTAATGGGATTGATAGACCCCGTTTGTTACATAATGTAATGGGATTGAGAGACCCCGTTTCTTAAATGATGTAATGGATTGAGAGAGCCCGTTTGTTAAATGATGTAATGAGATTGAAAGACCCCGTTTGTTAAATGATTTAATGGGATTGAGAGACACCGTTTGTTAAATGATGTAATGGGATTGAGAGACCCCCTTTGTTAAACGGTGTAATGGATTGAGAGACCCCATTTGTTAAACGGTGTAATGGATTGAGAGACACCATTTGTTAAACGGTGTAATGGATTGAGAGACCCCATTTGTTAAACGGTGTAATGGATTGAGAGACACCATTTGTTAAATGATGTGATGGGATTGATAGACCCCATTTGTTAAATGATGTAATGGATTGAGAGACCCCGTTTGTTAAATGATGTAATGGATTGAGAGATACCGTTTGTTAAATGATGTAATGGGATTGAGAGACCCGTTTGTTAAATGATGTAATGGATTGAGAGACACCGTTTGTTAAATGATGTAATGAGATTGATAGACCCCGTTTGTTAAATGATGTAATGGATTGAGAGACCCCGTTTGTTAAATGATGTAATGGGATTGAGAGACCCCGTTTGTTAAATGATGTAATGGATTGAGAGACACCGTTTGTTAAATGATGTAATGGGATTGAGAGACCCCGTTTGTTAAATGATGTAATGGATTGAGAGACACCGTTTGTTAAATGATGTAATGGGATTGAGAGACCCCGTTTGTTAAATGATGTAATGGATTGAGAGACCCCGTTTGTTAAATGATGTAATGAGATTGAGAGACCCCGTTTGTTAAATGATTTAATGGGATTGAGAGACACCGTTTGTTAAATGATGTAATGGGATTGAGAGACCCCGTTTGTTAAATGATGTAATGGATTGAGAGACCCCGTTTGTTAAATGATGTAATGAGATTGACAGACCCCGTTTGTTAAATGATTTAATGGGATTGAGAGACACCGTTTGTTAAATGATGTAATGGGATTGAGAGACCCCGTTTGTTAAATGATGTAATGGATTGAGAGACACCGTTTGTTAAATGATGTAATGGGATTGAGAGACCCCGTTTGTTAAATGATGTAATGGATTGAGAGACACCGTTTGTTAAATGATGTAATGGGATTGAGAGACCCCGTTTGTTAAATGATGTAATGGATTGAGAGACACCGTTTGTTAAATGATGTAATGGGATTGAGAGACCCCGTTTGTTAAATGATGTAATGGATTGAGAGACACCGTTTGTTAAATGATGTAATGGGATTGAGAGACCCCGTTTGTTAAATGATGTAATGGATTGAGAGACACCGTTTGTTAAATGATGTAATGGGATTGAGAGACCCCGTTTGTTAAATGATGTAATGGATTGAGAGACACCGTTTGTTAAATGATGTAATGGGATTGAGAGACCCCGTTTGTTAAATGATGTAATGGATTGAGAGATACCGTTTGTTAAATGATGTAATGGGATTGAGAGACCCGTTTGTTAAATGATGTAATGGATTGAGAGACACCGTTTGTTAAATGATGTAATGAGATTGATAGACCCCGTTTGTTAAATGATGTAATGGATTGAGAGACCCCGTTTGTTAAATGATGTAATGAGATTGAGAGACCCCGTTTGTTAAATGATGTAATGGATTGAGAGATACCGTTTGTTAAATGATGTAATGGGATTGACAGACCCGTTTGTTAAATGATATAATTGGATTGAGAGACCCCGTTTGTTAAATGATGTAATGGATTGAGACACCCCGTTTGTTGAATGTAGTAATGTATTGATAGACCCCGTTTGTTAAATGATGTAATGGATTGAGAGACCCCATTTGTTAAATGATGTAATGAGATTGACAGACCCCGTTTGTTAAATGATATAATGGGATTGAGAGACATCGTTTGTTAAATGATGTAATGGATTGAGAGACACCGTTTGTTAAATGATGTTATGAGATTGACAGACCCCGTTTGTTAAATGATTTAATGGGATTGAGAGACACCGTTTGTTAAATGATGTAATGGGATTGAGAGACCCCGTTTGTTAAATGATGTAATGGATTGAGAGACCCCGTTTGTTAAATGATGTAATGAGATTGAGAGACCCCGTTTGTTAAATGATTTAATGGGATTGAGAGACACCGTTTGTTAAATGATGTAATGGGATTGATAGACCCCGTTTGTTAAATGATGTAATGGATTGAGAGACCCCGTTTGTTAAATGATGTAATGAGATTGACAGACCCCGTTTGTTAAATGATTTAATGGGATTGAGAGACACCGTTTGTTAAATGATGTAATGGGATTGAGAGACCCCGTTTGTTAAATGATGTAATGGATTGAGAGACCCCGTTTGTTAAATGATGTAATGAGATTGAGAGACCCCGTTTGTTAAATGATTTAATGGGATTGAGAGACACCGTTTGTTAAATGATGTAATGGGATTGATAGACCCCGTTTGTTAAATGATGTAATGGATTGAGAGACCCCGTTTGTTAAATGATGTAATGAGATTGACAGACCCCGTTTGTTAAATGATTTAATGGGATTGAGAGACACCGTTTGTTAAATGATGTAATGGGATTGAGAGACCCCGTTTGTTAAATGATGTAATGGATTGAGAGACCCCGTTTGTTAAATGATGTAATGAGATTGAGAGACCCCGTTTGTTAAATGATTTAATGGGATTGAGAGACACCGTTTGTTAAATGATGTAATGGGATTGATAGACCCCGTTTGTTAAATGATGTAATGGATTGAGAGACCCCGTTTGTTAAATGATGTAATGAGATTGAGAGACCCCGTTTGTTAAATGATTTAATGGGATTGAGAGACACCGTTTGTTAAATGATGTAATGGGATTGATAGACCCCGTTTGTTAAATGATGTAATGGATTGAGAGACCCCGTTTGTTAAATGATATAATGGGATTGAGAGAAAACCGTTTGTTAAATGATGTAATGGATTGAGAGACACCGTTTGTTAAATGTTGTAATGGGATTGATAGACCCCGTTTGTTACATGATGTAATGGGTTTAAGAGACCCCGTTTGTTAAATGATGTAATGGATTGAGAGAGCCCGTTTTTAAATGATGTAATGAGATCGACAGACCCCGTTTGTTAAATGATTTAATGGGATTGAGAGACACCGTTTGTTAAATGATGTAATGGGATTGAGAGACCCCGTTTGTTAAACGATGTAATGGATTGAGAGACCCCGTTTGTTAAATGATGTGATGGAATTGATAGACCCGGTTTGTTAAAAGATATAATGATATTGACAGACCCCATTTGTAAAATGATGTAATGGGATTGAGAGACACCGTTTGTTAAATGATGTAATGAGATTGAGAGACCCCATTTGTTAAATGATGTAATGGACTGAGAGATACCGTTTGTTAAATGATGTAATGGGATTGAGAGACCCGTTTGTTAAATGTTGTAATGGATTGAGAGACCCCGTTTGTTAAATGATGTAATTTAATTGAGAGACCCCGTTTGTTAAATGATGTAATGGATTGAGACACCCCGTTTGTTTGATGTAGTAATGTATTGATAGACCCCGTTTGTTACATGATGTAATGGGATTGAGAGACCCCGTTTCTTAAATGATGTAATGGATTGAGAGAGCCCGTTTGTTAAATGATGTAATGAGATTGAGAGACCCCGTTTGTTAAATGATTTAATGGGATTGAAAGACACCGTTTGTTAAATGATGTAATGGGATTGAGAGACCCCATTTGTTAAACGATGTAATGGGATTGATAGACCCCGTTTGTTAAATGATGTGATGGGATTGATAGACCCGGTTTGTTAAATGATGTAATGGATTGAGAGACCCTATTTGTTAAATGATGTAATGGATTGAGAGACCCCGTTTGTTAAATAATGTAATGAGATTGACAGACCCCGTTTGTTAAATGATGTAATGAGATTGAGAGACCCCGTTTGTTAAATGATTTAATGGGATTGAGAGACACCGTTTGTTAAATGATGTAATGGGATTGAGAGACCCCATTTGTTAAACGATGTAATGGGATTGATAGACCCCGTTTGTTAAATGATGTGATGGGATTGATAGACCCGGTTTGTTAAATGATGTAATGGATTGAGAGACCCTATTTGTTAAATGATGTAATGGATTGAGAGACCCCGTTTGTTAAATGATGTAATGAGATTGACAGACCCGGTTTGTTAAATGATGTAATGAGATTGAGAGACCCCGTTTGTTAAATGATTTAATGGGATTGAGAGACACCGTATGTTAAATGATGTAATGGATTGAGAGACCCTATTTGTTAAATGATGTAATGGATTGAGAGACCCCGTTTGTTAAATGATATAATGAGATTGACAGACCCCGTTTGTTAAATGATGTAATGGATTGAGAGACCCCGTTTGTTAAATGATGTAATGAGATTGAGAGACCCCGTTTGTTAAATGATGTAATGGATTGAGAGACCCCATTTATTAAATGAGGTAATGAGATTGACAGACCCCGTTTGTTAAATGATATAATGGGATTGAGAGACATCGTTTGTTAAATGATGTAATGGATTGAGAGACACCTTTTTTTAAATGATGTTATGAGATTGACATACCCCGTTTGTTAAATGATGTAATGAGATTGAGAGACCCCGTTTGTTAAATGATGTAATGAAAATGACAGACCCCATTTGTTAAATGATGTAATGAGATTGACAGACCCCGTTTGTAAAACGATGTAATGGGATTGAGAGCCATCGTTTGTTAAATGATGTAATGAGATTGACAGACCCCGTTTGTAAAACGATGTAATGGGATTGAGAGACCCATGTCAGGTCCCGGGACCATGTTTAATTATAACATAACAACAGTTTTCCCTGTTCAGTTTCTTCTTATTCATATCTAAGATAATATTTCATATCATTCCATCAGGTGTTAAAGTTTTTTAAGTCAGTAATGGAACTCTTTCAAATGCAACTAAATAAATATTCGAGGTGTCTTTACAACTTGTAAATAGGTTAAGAGGCTCAGTTAAAAAAAGGTCCGGTTCATATTTTGTCAAAATTATCGCTTTAAGAAAAAAAAAAGGGTTTGGGAAAGAGAGGGGGGGGCACTTTCTTAATCCCTTTCCCAATTGTCTTGGCTAAAATTGAAAAGAGTAAATCCCTTTAGGGACCCCTGCGTTAAAAGTTATTTAAATAATACTGGGCTACCGTGGGCCAAAATATTTAAATAATACTGGGCTACCGTGCGCCAACATCTTTAAATAATACTGGGCTACCGTGGGCCAACATGAGGTGGAAAATAAATGAACATAGCCTCAGCTATTTCTAGTGAAGGGAAAAAAAATGTTGAGAATGTCATCCGCTGACGCCCATAGTTTTAAAAATATAATTTAAAACAACAACAACAGCAACAAACAACCACATTGATATTTATTGATAGAGATAGATTCAACGTAACGTTTACAAGCTTCAAATCGGGGGGAGGGCCGTTGAGAGGTTCTTGTCAAAAAGTCGATATCTAATTGAACGCTTTGTTACGCACTGACTTGTATTGGGAGAAATTAATCTCCTATTTTAATTTTAATTGGCTCGTTGTAAGCAGTGCCTAACAAAGAACGATACCATAGAATCAACAATATTAAAGATACGACCCAAAACAGTTCCTAGTTACAATTAATAATATTTATTAAGTCTTAAGATAATTACAAATTAAAAGAAAATATAATTACAATCTTCAACTTACAGTATGGTAGATCTTGTACCGGTACACAGTTAACACAGTTAGAATAATGTGCCAATAAATAATGCGAAATAACACATATGAGCACACAAATACACAAAGAATAAAACACGCCTCGTAATGTTAAGAAAATTTATCTGAAAATCTCCGTCTCTTCGTATCTGTCAATCCTTTATATACATGTAGAGTAAGACGCTCCCAGAAGGGCTTATGACGTGTTGTTTACATATCTCGGGTTAAGGAGTACATTCCAGAAGTTACGCCCCTGACAGCACCCACCCTAGAAACGCCAATGTCACTTACCACAGTATATTGCTGCAATATAAAAATCCACAACAGTATGTAAACACCTCGCACATTTATATATATATATATATATATATATATATATATATATATATATATATATATCACATAACACATATATATATCACATAACACATATCTATATCACATACCACATCTATATAACACATCACCCACCCCAGAAACACCAATGTCACTTACCACAGTATATAGTTCCAATATAAAAATCCACAACAATATATACACACCTCTCACATATATATATATATATATATATATATATATATATATATATATATATCACATACCACATTTCTATATCACATACCACATTTCTATATCACATACCACATTTCTATAACACATACCACATTTATATATACACATACCACATTTATATATCACATACCACATTTCTATATCACATACCACATTTCTATATCACATACCCCATTTCTATATCACATACCACATTTCTATATCACATACCACATTTCTATATCACATACAACATTTCTATATCACATACCACATTTCTATATCACATACGACATTTCTATAGCACATACCTCATTTTTAAATCACATACCACATTTCTATATCATATACCACATTTCTAAATCACATACCACATTTCTATATCACGTATCACATTTCTATATCACATACCACTTTTTTATATCACATAACACATTTTTATATCACATAATTATTTAGATATCACATACCACATTTCTATATCACATACCTCATTTCTATATTACATACAACATTTCTATATCACATACCTCATTTCTATATCTCATACCACATTTCTATATCACATACCACATTTCTAAATCACATACCTCACTTCTATATCACATACGACATTTCTATAGCACATACCTCATTTTAAATCACATTCGACATTTCTACATCATATACCACATTTCTAAATCACATACCACATTTCTATATCACATACCTCATTTCTATATCACATACCACATTTCTATATCACATACCACATTTCTATATCACATACCACATTTCTATATAACATACCACATTTCTATATCACATAACACATTTCTATATCACATACCTGATTTCAATATCACATACCACATTTCTATATGACATACCACATTTCTATTTCACCATACCACATTTCTATATCACTGATCACCTACCACATTTGTTGTCGTCGCGTTGTAACGTTGCCGGCAGTTGGTGGAAATCCCGAGTGCGTCGTAGAAACACCTCCAGCTCCGCCAGCTCCGCGGACGTGTGGCCCCTCAGCACCCAGTGCCCGTCCAGCATCTGGTCAAGACTGCACGGGTGGGGATTCACGGGGCCCCCCTCCGCGTGCCACAGTTCCAGGAACAAGTGACCGATACCAAAGGATGTTCCCATCGTCATCCCGCTGGCCAGGGTCGTGATCAGGATAAATCCCAGGGAGATCATGAAATAAAACACTTTAGAAGTCGGACGCGGCTTCAATTTACTCATCATCGTGTTAAGCTGCGAAGTTTGAATAGACAGAAAACATTAATTTCGCCATTCTGGTGTTACTTGGACTAGATTAGGCGCACTCCCATATCATGACGCCACGCCCTAGATTTGTGCCTGACATGCCAGTTTTTTAGCACATAATAAAATTTATTATCTGTGATTGCTTTGTTTGGACTATGGCTTAAAAGAAAAAGAACGAGAAAAAACGTGTGTGTGGGGGAGGGGGGTTAGTTATCTAACTCGGGGGTTTTATCAACGAGGATGTCAGAGCAGCCCCATGTTTCGATTAAGGTTTATACGTGTGTAGAAGGATTTGATTTCATTTTACAGGATCTTCGTTGCATATTTTTTTTTAAATGTATAATATGCTGTTTTCTCTCTTCAAAGAGAAGTGTGATCTATAGAATTGTCATCCTAATCTAATGTATTAAAAATGTATGTTATCTTCAGATTAATGATCGAGTTTTATTAATTAGTTTCAATATTTTTTTTTCCACAGAAAAGAAGGGGGCGTCATTTCAGATTTTTTCAGGGTGTGTGTGTGGGGGGGGGTGGTATGACCAAAACTTGGTGGGCTTATTTCGTTGTTTATTGCTGAAAGAGGCGCCACAGTCCATAGAAATTTAAATACAACCTTCAAATTCAGGTGGGAGGTGGCAGATGTTCCACCCTGCCCTACCCAAATGACGTCTTTGCAGGGAAAAAACATTGAAATAACACACCGAAAAGTTGAAAATACAACCTGAAGCATACTATAACACTTGGGTTTTTTATTCCGACTTTGATGGAAGTTAAGGACGCCTGTTTCCGTTAGAAAATTTTGAAAAAAAAAACTATTTAAAGGAATACATCTTTATCAGTCTCCTTAAGAGTCCCCACTCGAACCCTATGCTAGATTTATATATATATATATAAATGTAGATTTTTCTCTACTGCCCCTTTGTTGTAAAAAGCATAATTTAACTTAAAGTGAAAATTTAGGACCTCTACATATGGTTAATTAAACACATGATAGTTCCTTAACGTTTGAATCATACGTACCTTTTCATGAATATTTTTTTCCTAAAAAAATAATAATAATTTGTTGGATTATTCAATAACTCGCCTGCTCAAATTTTAGGAATAAAATGGGGAGAGGTGGGGAAAGGGGGGGGGGTAAAAAGATCGCGATCAAGCTATAAAAAGGGAATAATTAAGGGGATAAAAAGTAACGGATGCCTTCAAAATAAAATTGAGGAAAAAAGATTAAATGAACTTAGTTCACAGGGCTGGAGGCGGAATGTATAGTCCACGAGGAAACTGTAAACTGAACATGATCAAATTTAGAATGTTCATTTGTGTAAGAGTGTAGGGCCCTGAGAACGTACCTTAAAACGAAACCTTAAATTAAATTCCCCAGCAAGCTACACAAACCACAAGACCTTACAATAAAACTTTACAACTGAATACAACCTTGTATTATAAATCACAAAGAGGTTTCAAGGAGGAGTGCCATTGCATCTATCATAAATGCCCGTTGCACGTCAGCGCAGCTAGGATCCATTCCTGAAAACTTAAATCAATCGATACCCACCAAGAGAAATTCGTCAAACACTTATCAGGAAAAATAAAATTTATAGGACTGTTTTCAATATTATTTTGATATTTTTAAATCAGCGATAAAGAAAATACCTCTTGCAACTACATAGATTATCTCAGGAAAGAATGTGTTTCGAGGCTATAGAATCAATGTTATTATTGTGACTAGCTGGGGAAGCGCAACCCCGTTGTGCGTGTAAGATACGGGAGAGGTTTATAATCTCTAAATGTCGTGCGCTTGATCACGTGTGCACCAAAAAACACACCAAATAAAAAATGTGTTCGCCCTGAGCCGTGTGCCGTGCTTTCTGCCGACTTGTGGTTGCTCTACTAAGTAACGGTGAATATATGAAGTGCCACCTAGAAGACCGCCACCCGTTTTTTCGTGCTATCGCTAATTTTTTAAAATAAAGGATTCATTGTTTTTTTTTTTTTTAATAATTAAACAATTTTTTTAGAAAAAAAATCCCTCAAATGCATTTTGTTTTCATTTACGTAATTTTACGTGTTTTTTCATTGATTACCTTATAGCAAATGGTAAGGGAATGTTGTTGTTTTTTTTATCAAACTTTTGTGTGGCGTGCTTTCTGCCGACTTGTGGTGGCTCTACTAAGTAACTGTGAATATATGAAGTGCCACCTAGAAGACCGCCACCCTTTTTTTCGTGCTATCGCTAATTTTTTAAAATAAAGGATTCATTGTTTTTTTTTTTTTAATAATTAAACAATTTTTTTAGAAAAAAAATCCCTCAAATGCATTTTGTTTTCATTTACGTAATTGTACGTGTTTTTTCATTGATTACCTTATAGCAAATGGTAAGGGAATGTTGTTGTTTTTTTTATCAAACTTTGCGCATGAAAACTATATTAGACTAAAGATAAATTTAAACACAAACACGTCACAAAAACAAGGCACACAGCAACAGCTATACAATTAATCTCCACACCAAAACACGCAACCCTTGAACAAATCATTAACACCCGCCCCCCTCTTTAAAAAAAAAAAATCAAGGAAAATTGATTTTTGGAAGTTGGGGTGGGTTTGGTCTGAGAATGTTATCGAGTGTATGGTCATTGGCAACGAATCGATGTACCAAGTTTCAGCTTGATATAATGACGGGAAGTGGGCCAAATAGCTTTCCCTTGATAAGCAGGAAATACTGGTTGGGTGGCGATAGGGTGGGTTGGGGCTGAAAATATGAAAGAATGTTTTGTCATTGGCAAAGCGTACATGTGCTGATTTTCAGCTCCATAGTGCGACGGAAAGCCGTTCAGTTAACCTTCGGAAAATTTTGCCGCGCGAGTCACGCGGGAAAAAAAGTCATCATCTCAAAGTGTCTGAAGTGACTTGTGAAATATAACTATGTCGCTCTGGTCTTTGGTTGCCTGCTTTTCCCGCCAGTATTGTGCAATAATTCTACCAGGGGCGTAGCTGCAGTGTTTGTCGCCCCGGGGCACGAGATTAATTTCAAAGCGCCTCCCTTACTTTTTTTTTTCAACTCTCAAACCCCTTATATTCATCAATAAAATAATATCAAAGCACATTTTGGCGCCCCTGGCGCGTCTGTCAGCCAGGATCATCTGTTTCTACCCCCTCTGCCCCGCCCCCTTAGCTGCGCCTCTGATTTCTACTAAGTTTTGATTGCTGGTTGTGTAAAATTTCTTGACACTATCGAAGTAACGATGCGTTTACCGACAAAGATATCACACACAAACCAATGCCCGTGCTCCATACCTTTTCTAGACCGCCTGTGCCGACTAGCTTCTATCTGACTAATCTGACGCATGCACTCTGTGAAACATGTGGTGATCCTGCCACAGTTCTTGTTTATCTTGCTTCTTTTTTTTATTATTATTATTAGTATTCGACTTTGAAATAAATTTAACAACTTTACATTTTGAATGACGTAAGTAGACTAAGTTAGTGGTCGGTGCTTTTATTTGTATAAAAATCTGCTTGGATGCCGGCCGAACGCCTCCAGGTCGAAGTCCAGCACCACCGGCGACCCGGTGATGTCACACGGGGTCTTGCCTCTTCGTGGCGTTGCAGACTAGTAGTGGGGTTTCCTCCTGAAGCTAAAATTCCACTCGCATGACTTCCAACGCAACGGAAGTAACGCAATAACATGATTACTTGTTGCCGATAATGGATATGAGGCCTGGGTGGCGGTCAAAGCCCTTGCCGATGATTTTAGCTACGCGGCCCTGAGAAAGTCGCTCCTAGGCGACCGTTTCGTCCCCGCTACGTCCAGACCGAACTACTCCCTGGGCGGTGGGGGGAGATAACGCAACACGTTTCCCACGGAGAGGAACCAAAGCCGTTCAGACCCAAGGAGAGTGGACCGCGAACGCTTTAAACGCAGCGTTTTTGGTCGACCGGACGTCCTCGAGGCCGGGGGGGGGGAGGTTTCCGGCGTGCTACCGCACGGTCTGGTGATGGGGAGACCTGGCATCGGCCCGTGTGGGGGGCGTGCCAGGAGGGGTATTAACAGCTCCCGCTCGACGACCCACCGACGCCATCTCCAATGAGACGTTATTTGTATAAAATTAACATTTTAACTGTGTGTATGTGTGTTTGGATAGGATAATTTTATTGTGTGTGTTAAATCTAATTAATCTCAGAATTTAAAAAAATAAAATTACCATTTAAAAGAAATAAAATCCCCCCAAAAATTTGTTTTAAAAATTTGTTTTAAAAGAAAACAAATTTTCTTTTTTTAAAAAGTAAAAAATTTAGACAAAAGA